GAGGGCAGGGGAGGGGAGGGGGAGGGGAAGGGAGGGCAGGGAAGGGGAGGAAAAGGAAACTAGGGAAGGGAAGGAAGGAGGGAGAAAGAAGAGGAAAAAAAGAGGCAGAGAGGTAAAAAGAAGGAAATGGAGGAACATAGAGGATTGGGAAGAAGGGAGGAAAGGAGAGAGGAAGGGAAGAGAGGTCTCTGCTTCATCCCAAACATCCAACTAAAAGGAACACATCTAACAAAGTGTGGTAATGCATGTCTTTAATTTTTAACGTCAGCACTTCTCGGGAGGCAGAGGCAAGTAAGTTTGAGGCCAGCTTGGCCTACATAGCAAGTCTCCGGACGTCAGGGCTACACAGTGAGACCCTGTCTTTTTTTTTTTTTCTAAAAAAACACACAAGCCCTTCTCTCGGTGTCTCAGAGGAAGGGACTCCGCCCCCCACCCGCCCCCATCATGACTTTGGGGGTTCTCTAAGGTTCCAGAGGGTCAGCCCGGGCCCCAGCTCACTAAAAGAAAGATTTGCAGGGATTGTCGAGCAACACTGGCTGACCCACACTCCGGGTGGGACTCGGCCTCCAGTCAAGACCAACTCTGCCACCCCGGAAGACGACAACGGGGACCGTGTCCTCCTCACAAACAAGCGGAAGGGGGAGGAGTGTGGGAAAGTCTGGCGGCCAGAGGCGAGCGCGGCCAGGCCTGCGATGGGGAGCTCTCCGGGTGCTCTGCAGATGGAGATGCGCCTTTCTCCAGGCCCGGAGTCCCTGGGCGGCGCCGGGGCAACTGCGGAAATCACGCAGCCAGATGAAGCTCATAAATTTCCCCTATGAACAATTGTTTTCATTTCCCTCCCATGCCACTAGATATTATAAGTGGAAAGCAAAACACAAGTAAATATGTTCATTCCACTCTGTGATCAGTGATAAACGAGAGGCTGCGCGGGCTGACAAAGGTCAGCGGCGCTGCGAGCCGGAGTCTGCAGGCGGACACTGCCACCCTCCGGCCGCGCGCGGGACTGCAGCGGCCGGCGCCACCCGACTGAACCCCGGCCCTGGCTGCAGGCCTGGGCAGGCTCGCTCCGCAGGGGGCTGGTCACAGTGTTGCAGAGGGGACACCAACACGTGTAAATGGCAGGAAAACTCAAAGGCACAGGGAAAACCTCAAATTAGAACTAACCACCACCCATAAAAATCGCTATCCCAAAGATAACTTATTAACATTTTAGTCATTTTTCCCCGTTGGGCATTGCATTCCAGGGTGAGATTTGCACACGGAAAAAAAAAAAAAAAAAAAAAAAAAAAAATTTAAAGGCTTTTTGTCCAAATTCTTGATTTTTCATCTCACATTTAAACTAAAGTAACTTCCGTAAACAAATGATCTTTTTAAGGGCTGCATAATATTTTCTTTATTTAATTTATTATTATTGTGTGTGTCCTTGTGTATATGATGGAAGGGGCATCTACCTGCTAATATGCAAGT